CTACAGCAGGAGACTTCAACATCACGCCAACTTAAAGGAGGGGTAGGTAAGTTTGAGAAACCGGCTCGAGATACACTTCTTGTTATATTCCATGGAATGCTCTTAACATCCCGATGGCAATGAATATATTAAATGCTTTGACAATAAATACATTTAAAAAAAAGTAATTGTGGAAGCCGTGGTGCTGTAAAAACCAAGACCAATTATTTTAGCCAACCCGGATACAAACTTATCTTGTGCCCTCATTGGTCATGTGCACGTTCGTGTGTGTTGGAGGAGGGGCTCTGTAAGGAAGGGGCAGCTTTTTTTCAGCTACCAAAACACAATTTACTCTGTTCTTGAGACAGATATTGGATGCTCACCTTGCGAGTGGGCTTCAGGCGCACAATCTTAAGAGCAGCTGGAACAACCATGCGCTTCCTCTGTGGAAACAAAGCCAAAATCAGTAAAAGAACAAAACAAAATGTCTTTGCATTGATAGGCTTGCATGTCTCAGAGAGAGTTTGTTTTCAGAGTCATAACTCAAACAAGGTAAGTAAGTATAAATGTTAACATCACAGACAGCAGAGGACACATGTCAGGGCCACATAGCATACAATGTGGCCTTTTGTTTTTCAATTGAAATAATCACCTTGTCATAGGGTGGGGGGATACCGTCAAACACCTTCATCCTGTCCAGAGCGGCCTGTCCTCTCTTGGTTTTGTGGGGCAACATGCCTGTAAACAGAGAATACTTGTTAGTTCAATTAAGTTTCAAATAGCCAATGCATTAAACCTGAATCAAAAGTTTATTTGTCCAAGCACACATGAATGTCCCCTTCTCAACTCAGTAATCAGATCCGAAAAGTTGTCTCATCAATGGATGATCAGTTTTAGGATAGTGTTCATCACTGTCAATCAAGGAACAACTTGTGCTGGGTCAAATAAATGCCAAGATCCTGTATTACCAAATATTAACCTAGATTACACAGAATTATATTTTAGCCAACACTGGACCTTTGTTGGTTCTTATGATTAAAAGGTTTAGGCCTTGCAACCAGACTTATGGTGTCTCAGCCACATTTCATGGTGGAGAAATAAATCTCTGCTAAAGTAAATAATGCCTGTCCAATGTGCAGCCCACAGATAAAGCCCATTTACTGCATTTCAACTGAACAACTTGTTTGAGTGTAATAGCTTTGACACTGAAAGGCAATTTATTTCACAGAAAATGCTGTGATATTCCCAATACAAGAATATTTCAGCATTACATTTCATTTGTTGGGAGTTGCCCCTTCCCAACTTTACACTTAGTTTCATGCTCACCTCTGACAGTCCTCCAGAAGATCCTGCTGGGGGCTCTGAAATGGAAAGGTCCACGAGAGGGGTTGGTGTTCATCCTCTTACGCAGGAAAGCCAGGTACTTCACTGTAGAGGGGAACAAAATGTAAACACTGAACTGAGTCACAAATACTTCAAGGACTCCAAGCAGGGGCAGCCATTGTGGCGGTATTAAATGCTGATGTCTCAGATGGTAGTGCATGTAGTGGTCTCATGGTCAATTAAACTCGAACAACATTAGTAGGGAATCATCACTGACAACAGGCAAATCCTAAGGCACAATGGAAAAGTGTTTTGTCGAGCATACATAAACTCTACTTACGCTTGTTACAGTAGAAGTTTCCTGAGATGTTGATGCCTTCACATCTCACCACCACTACTTTGTGTCCTAAAAGAAAACCGTAGTTTAGCATTTGGAGAACAATAAAATGTGCTCACATTAATCATCGCCTGCATACTGTCTCAGATGGTAGTGCATGTAGTGGTCTCATGGTCAATTAAACTCGAACAATATAGTAGGGAATCATCACTGACAACAGGAATAAGGCACAATGGAAATAAGGTTCTTTTGAGCATAAATTCTACTTACCCGTGTTACGGTAGAAGTTTCAAGAGATGTTGATGCCTTCACATCTCACCAACACTACNATCATCGCCTGCATACTGTCTCAGATGGTAGTGCATGTGAGTTTTCTCATGGTCGTTAAACTCAAGCAAAGCTGTAAGGTGATCATCATTGACAGACTGAGGCAAAGCAGCTTAATTTCCCCTTTTGTAATCTTAATATTTATCAAGAGCAGGGTCTCACTCCATTCACTGCTGGGTATTTTTAATCAAGGGTTCATTCTTTCTATAAATGACTTTAGAGGAAATAGTTTTCCAGCATTAAATTACATATGGGTTTACTTAAAAAGAATAAAACTTACCCAAAAGGACCTGTTTAGCCACCAGGGCAGCAAGCCGACCGAGTAAATGGCCCCTGCCATCAAGCAGCAGAACCTGCAGGTTGGAAAGTGAGAAATGAATATCGGCACAATAATTCTGAGCTGAAAATACGGAAAAACATTGGCCATTCTACAAGCTTGCTTTACATATTTAACAAAATCCGACACACGTTTCAGAAATTTATTGAATTATTTATGTTGCTAGTCACATGTTATACATAGTAAACTCACACGCAATTTTAAGAAAAAAGACAACCATGGCCCATTTAAATCAAATATTGCCAATTAGAAACGTTAGAGAACTTTGAGATTTGTAATAAATGCCACATGGAGCCTACCGACGAGAGCATATCGTTAGCTTAGCATCAACGTCAAAGCACGCTTAATGCATTTTAGACAACAAACATAAAACGGTGGGCGAGTATAAAAGCATAACGCTATTTAAACAATGAAGGATGTGCATCTTACAATTACTACATTTACGCTGTTGTCCAGACGTACACATTCTCATGCCCCAAGTTTAAGCTAGCAGGCTAATGGCGTTGACACGTTAGGGATCTGCCATGTTGAAGGCATGTCCACTCACTCAGGCACGGCTAGGCGTCTCAAACAAGTTCCAAAATAAGGTCCTAAGAGTAACACCGATCCAAAAAAAAGTAACGGCAAGGAGCCCTGTGGTTACGGCTTACAGGTTAACTATAAAGTAGCAGATTTAACAACCCCTAAATAGCAAAAATTATGATTCTAATTCGGCCGCTGCAGTTTACCTTATTGAACCGGTCCGCCATGATGTGCGAAAAGAAAGACGTACGGGGCTGCCCGTTCTAAAAGGCAGGGGCAGAAGGAAGTGACGACTTCTTCTTCTTCTTCTTCTTCTTCTCTTGCTTTTGGCGGATTGCAAACAACTTAAAATGTGCATACCGCCACCTACTGTACATGAGTATGAATCATCACATCATTCCAACTCTTTAACCTATGTTCTAATCAAAATAAAATTCTAAGATAAATAAATAAAAAAAAATTAAATAAATTACCATAAATAAGATAAATANTGTCTCAGATGGTAGTGCATGTAGTGGTCTAATGGTCAATTAAACTCGAACAATATAGTAGGGAATCATCACTGACAACAGGAATAAGGCACAATGGAAATATGGTTATTTTGAGCATAAACTTTACTTACCCGTGTTACGGTAGAAGTTTCAAGAGATGTTGATGCCTTCACATCTCACCAACACTACCGCTACGTCTGCTAAAATAAAACTGTAGTTTAGCATTTGGAGAACAATAAAATGTGCTCACATTAATCATCGCCTGCATACTGTCTCAGATGGTAGTGCATGTAGTGGTCTCATGGTCAATTAAACTCGAACAATATAGTAGGAAATCATCACTGACAACAGGCATAAGGCACAATGGAAATAAGGTTCTTTTGAGCATAAATTCTACTTACCCGTGTTACGGTAGAAGTTTTGAGAGATGTTGATGCCTTCACATCTCACCAACACTACGTGTCCTAAAAGAAAACTGTAGTTTAGCATTTGGAGAACAATAAAATGTGCTCACATTAATCATCGCCTGCATACTGTCTCAGATGGTAGTGCATGTGAGTTTTCTCATGGTCGTTAAACTCAAGCAAAGCTGTAAGGTGATCATCATTGACAGACTGAGGCAAAGCAGCTTAATTTCCTCTTTGGTAATCTTAATATTTATGAAAAGAGCAGGGTCTCATTTCAGTTGCTGCTGGGTATTTTAATTAAGTGTTAATGCTTGCTATAATGACTTACCCGACATAACCTGTTGAGCCACGAGGCAGCAAGCCGACCGAGTAAATGGCCCCTGCCATCAAGCAGCAGACCAGAACCTGCAGGTTGGAAAGTGAGGATATTAATACTTGCATTATATTTTTGAGCTGTAAATAAATACGGCTAACATTGGCCATCCTATAAGCTTGCTTTAAATATGTAACAGCTATTAAACACGTGCTTCAAAACTGATTCAATAGCTTAATGTTGCCGGTCACGTTTTATACATAGTAAAAACTCACACGCCATTTTAAAACGTTGTTGCTCCTTAGGAAAAAAAGGCCAATTGTCAATTATAAACGTTAGCACTTTGCAATGCCACATGGAGCCTACCGACGAGAGCATATTTAGCTTAGCATCAACGTCAAAGCACGTGTACATTTTAGACTGCAAACAAAGAAATTGTGGGCGAGTATAAGCATAAAGCCCTGTGAACAGAGAAGGATGTGCATCTATTAAAATGACTACATTTACGCTGTTATCCAGACTTACTCATTTCCATGACCCAAGTGTAGCCTAGCAAGCTAAAGGCGTTGACTCGTTGGGGGAAGCTGCCATGATGAATGCATGTTCACTCAGCCACTGCCAGGATCAGAGAGAGAGAGAGAGAGAGAGAGAGAGAGAGAGTGCGTGTGTGTGTGTGTGTACTGCAGTCTCCACTTTTCTGAAGTCCTAAAGAGAGGGTGTCATGTCATCACAGCCCTATTGACCAAAAGGAGAAATGCAACAAGCTGCTCTCACTTTTTTAATTAGCAGTCAGTCCCCACACCCTGCAACAGCTGATCTCTATTACCCTCCAATCAACACAGAGGAATTGGGACATTTAGCTAAAATGAGTTGGAGAAAAGGAAGATGTAAGCAAATCACAAATAATAACTGATAACTTATAGATCCTTTTTCTATTGCCACATGTGTTTAAAACATAGACAATTCACAAATAAAAACAATACCCCTCTTCCCGGTCAATACTGAGTGTAACACATAGATCTGTGAGACAAAATAAAGAAATAGGCCTATATACATATTTAAATTATGTACACATATATAATGTATATATATACACATATACATAATAAAAAGGAATAAAAGAAGAATAAAATCCAATTCAGTTAAAAGCTAAATTAATATTCATTAATAAATAAGCTCAAAAACAGGACACAACCAACGTGTCTTGACCAAAGTTGGGACCTCTCACATGGCCCAAAGATAATTCACAAAATGATTAATAGGTTCCACTTTTGAAATGATACTTATTTCTTTATGTAAACTGGATTTTCCTTTCACATCTTAAGAACTAAAAATCTTTCAAATTAAACAGGAAAGAAAAAAACACGGTGATAAAAAGGCAGAAAGGCTGGGGGAAATCAGTAGTGGATCTGATTTTTGACTGATTAACGTTCCAATCATCTCTCAAAAGCTTATTTTGGAGCACCAGTAAAAGAGGGAATTACTTCTTTCCTTCCCATGAGATCCAGTAGTTTCACCAGTAAAGTGCAGCTACATTTCTGTGATCATTTTTGGACCAACCTGAATAAATAGTTGTTAAAAAAATAAATTATTCTGTAAGAATTAGCTGGATTGTGTCTTTATTTTCTGGAGGGTACACTTTTAAGACTGAAAGTTAACACATATAAAGTCCACTTCTTTAGGATTGTTTTTTACTTAACCCATTTATTTGTATACAGGTTCTTGACAGATCGCATCATATTTTACATACAGATTTGAAAAATGTCCACTTTTTATGACAAGGGTAAGTCAGTAAGATGAGTCATATTTTTGCCTTAATTTATTGGCGCAAGAGAAAACGTATTTTGTTTTTATCAGATGGCTTGGAAGAGAATCTCCACAATTGATTCCAAATCAATGAGGGTAACACTGCTCTCTGCTGGTAGAGAAGCTGATCCACAGTGGTCGCTGTGACTCAGGATTGATAAATCTACCATTTTCTTTTTTTACAAACTGTGACAAAAGTAAATGAATGAAGTCCACAACGGTGACAACCATATTTTAACTTTCTTGTAAACTATCAGTAAATTAAATAGGCAAACTTCAATGCAATAGATGCAAAATCATCTAGCACTCTGAACACTTGTCTTTATACTACAAGAGTGGAAACATCGGTATGCTTAAATGGCACGTGCCACAATTGTTTAGATAAGGAGAAAGGTGGACATAATGTGAACAACGCAAATATTCTTACTTTTCTGCATGTCTTAATTCATTAGTTTGTGGGGACAGCGTTGAAGCCTTTACACTTTTATTTCAAACCAGTGATACTTCCCAGTTAGTCCTTTGAATCCCAGATCACTAACATTTAGGACATTCAGTCCTATTTCATAAATGAAACAGTCCACACTGATTTCCTTAGTACTTCAGAATTCACCATATTATACAAACCTGAAGCCTGTATTTATTCCCATGCCTGAAAGTCATTAACACAAATATCTCCTCCCACACATTTAATGTTAGTCAGGCTTCTGGTTGGCCATGTCCCTTAAGCATTCAACATTTAGTCAAGTCTGCGAACAATGGCCAGATCCAATATATACAATTGGAATTATTAACTTTATTTCAATATAAGTGCAACTTTCAGCAAAGCGGAATGAAACAGTCAATACACTTTCTATAAACATTTATTTTCTTTATTGACCGGAGACAACTAGATCAGACAAGGACTCCATATTGTTTCAGAACGTCCGTGTATTTTGCAATCTTGCTCTCAACGTTCTTTTCTGCCACCTTGGTCAGCTTGATCGTACACTTCTTCTTGCCGTAGCGCAGCTTAGCCTTCTCCTTTCTCTTCTCCTCCAGGGTGGCTGTGATGGCTGCGTACTTCCAGCCAACCTCATGAGCCAGACGCCCAAGAAGAGCAAACTGAGACAGAAAAGTCAAAGTCAGTAACTTTCAAAGTGAATCACATATTTTCTAAATTAACCTTCTTAAGTGTAGACAATAGAAACTCCGAACTAAAACAAACATTCACATGTTC